ACACTTTTTTGGTAACTATTCAGTTGCTGTGGAGAGCCAACCTTCCTTCCTTCTGCTGACCAAGCTCAGCTCAAAATTGGATTTGATGTGGAAGATGACAGAGGGTAGGCAGTAATGTAGAAGAAGCATACTGTCAGCTTGTAGGTCTTCCAGAAGCAAAGGGCTAGAGAAAGCCTAGATTACTTGAGTATACCCTAGCACTTTAATTCTAGGCCTTTACAATGTGCTTGTGTACAATGTATAAGTAGACAGGCTCCTCTCGAAGGTCAAGATATCCAGTATGATTCTTAGCACCTTCATGAAAGACCCGTGTCAGAATTTAACCTGCTCAGGCAGGCGGCTTACGGGGACCTTCTGAAACCTTCCTTTTGTGATATTTACATTTGTAACTGTTCTCCCATATTCTGTTTGGCAAGTAGGATTAATGTTCTCATATTAAATGAAAAACCTACATTTCTAATAGATTTTCTATGACATAGTGATAGTTTGTTTGATACTGTTTTCAAAGGAGAAGGGGTATGAAGCAATAGTATATTACCTTTTTTATCTTTTTAGTTAAGGTTTTCTTTTTTCTACCTAAACACCTGCTAACTCCTTTGATCTGTTCTGGAAACACAGCATGAAAATAGCTCTCAGTCCTGACAATTAGACCTTCTGTCTGTCTGCCTGTCTATCTGTCTGTCTGTCTGTCTGTCTGTCTCTCTCTCTCTCTCTCTCTCTCTCTCTCTCTCTCTTTGGTCAGTCATGGGGCTTGAACTCTGGGCCAGGATGCTATCCCTCAGCTCTTCAGCTCAAGGCCAGTGCTCTACCACTTAAGCCACAGTACCACTTCCAGTTTTCTGAGTGGTTTATTAGAGATGAGAATATCAAGGAATTTCCTGTCCAGGTGACTTTGAACTGCAATCCTCAGATCTCAACCTCCTGAGTAGCTAGGATTAAAGGTGTGAGCCACCGGCGCTCGTCTATTTCTTTTGGTTGTAGGGCTTGAACTCAGGGCCTGGGCATTGTCCCTGAGCATCTTTATGCTCAAAGCTAGCACTTTACCATATGAACCACAGTGCCACCTCCAGTTTTTGAGTGGTTTATTGAAGAGTCTCCAGAGTCTCACTTTTCTGCCGGGATGGCTTCAAACTGCAATCCTCAGACCTCAGCCTCCTGAGTAGCTAGGATTACAGGCATAAGCCACTGATGCCCAGTGACATTCTCTTTCTTGAAGCTCCCAAGCCACCCATTCAGCTCAATGGCTTCTACTGGTTGTAGTGTCTGCTCTGGTGTGTTGGGCAGTAGCTAGTCTTTCCTGCTGTGCTCGGTTGTACGCTCTATATAATGGATGAAGAGAGTTGGAGCAAAGGCTAAAAGGAATAGCCATTCTTGAGATGGCTACAAAAGAATTATTATTGTTATATGACAGGATATTATGTGGCCAGAACTCCAGAGAACTTTGTGTCTTAGCTATTTGATTATCTGTTAAGCATCTTGATTTGATGTGTGAGAATCTTCTTTATTCATGGCTTCTTAGCCTTCTTAGCCTTACATTTACAGTGCACCAGAGAAGAACAGTATTGGTAATGATTTCTTTTGAGGTCAGTAGCAGGACTTGAAATAGAGATGACAGATGAGATATTTAGCCAAGCTATCAGTATTGTAAAGAGATTGAATATTATGTGCTCAGGTTTAGACTAGCTCATGATGGGTCTTTGCTCAGCTGTCATTCAAGAATGCCAGTGTTGGCCTCATGAACATCTGTTACTCTCTCTGAAGTCTTTGCTGATTCTCCCAACTTTCTCTTTTGGGTTCCTGTGATACTTCTTGTCCCCATTTCTTGCCCTGTTTTGTGATTGTCTAAATATTTGTTTATTATGCTACATTAATTCTTGACAGCAGGAACTTGGTCTGATTCATGTCAATGTTCCCATAATTCATAGATTGTGTCCCACTTGTAACTATTACTTAATACATTTTATTAAATTGAACTGAACAAAATTGGCTGTTCTAGTAGAGTGACTATAGTTCACAGTAATTACTTATATATTTTATTTTATTTTTGCTGAGGATTGAATCCAAGGCCTCTTTTATGCTAGACTTTTGTGCTCTGTCTGTGATAAAGAACTAAAAGAAAAGAGTTTGAAGCTTTCCAGCATAAAGCACTGATAGATGCTGGTGGCTCATGCCTATAATCGTAACTAGTCAGGAGGCTGAGATCTAGGAATCTCTGTGCAGTTGGAAGCCAGCTCCTATCTCCAACTAACCAGCAAAAAGCTGGAACTGGAGATATGGTTCGAGTAAACCACCAGCTGTGACTGAAGGAATGAGCAAAAAGAAAAAAAGAGGAGTCAGATGCCAGTGGCTCATGCCTATAATCCTAGTTACTCAGGAGGCTGAGATCTGGGATTGAGATTCAAAGCCAGCCCAGGTAGGAAAGTCTGTGATACTCTTTTAAAAAAAAAATAAGTTTTTTATTGTGAAAATACTGTACAGAGGGTTTACAATCACATGAGCAAGGTAATGAGTACATTTCTTATCAAGCATTGGTGCCTCCTCCTTTGTTTTTCTTCTACCATCCCTTCCCTCCCATCTCCACAACTACATTCCACCCCTCTCCCCCATACTCTTATCTCCAATTAACCACCAAAAAGCCAAAAGTGGAGCTGTGGCTCAAGTGGTACAGCACTAACCTTGAGGAAAAAACTCAGAGACAGCACCTAGATCTTGAGTTCAAGCCCTAGGACTAGCATACACAAAAAAAGAGGAAATGGTATATGCTTAAATACCAGGGTTTTATCGTTATATATTGCATGCATTTCGAATTATCACACCCATAAACATGTATAATTATTACATGTTGATTTAAAATATTGTATTACAGCCATGCAGTAATGTCACTTATAGTTCTAGTTGATCAAGAGTTGTAATTACTTATATATTTTATTTTATTTTTGCTGAGGATTGAATCCAAGGCCTCTTTTATGCTAGACTTTTGTGCTCTGTCTGTGATAAAGAACTAAAAGAAAAGAGTTTGAAGCTTTCCAGCATAAAGCACTGATAGATGCTGGTGGCTCATGCCTATAATCGTAACTAGTCAGGAGGCTGAGATCTAGGAATCTCTGTGCAGTTGGAAGCCAGCTCCTATCTCCAACTAACCAGCAAAAAGCTGGAACTGGAGATATGGTTCGAGTAAACCACCAGCTGTGACTGAAGGAATGAGCAAAAAGAAAAAAAGAGGAGTCAGATGCCAGTGGCTCATGCCTATAATCCTAGTTACTCAGGAGGCTGAGATCTGGGATTGAGATTCAAAGCCAGCCCAGGTAGGAAAGTCTGTGATACTCTTTTAAAAAAAAAATAAGTTTTTTATTGTGAAAATACTGTACAGAGGGTTTACAATCACATGAGCAAGGTAATGAGTACATTTCTTATCAAGCATTGGTGCCTCCTCCTTTGTTTTTCTTCTACCATCCCTTCCCTCCCATCTCCACAACTACATTCCACCCCTCTCCCCCATACTCTTATCTCCAATTAACCACCAAAAAGCCAAAAGTGGAGCTGTGGCTCAAGTGGTACAGCACTAACCTTGAGGAAAAAACTCAGAGACAGCACCTAGATCTTGAGTTCAAGCCCTAGGACTAGCATACACAAAAAAAGAGGAAATGGTATATGCTTAAATACCAGGGTTTTATCGTTATATATTGCATGCATTTCGAATTATCACACCCATAAACATGTATAATTATTACATGTTGATTTAAAATATTGTATTACAGCCATGCAGTAATGTCACTTATAGTTCTAGTTGATCAAGAGTTGGAGATTGGGAGGTTCATGGATCAAGGCCAGCCCCAGGCACAAAGTTCATGAGACCTTATCTCAGTCAATAAAACAACTTGGCATAGTGGTACATACCTGTCATCGCAGCTATACAGTAAGCATAAATAGGAGGATTGAGATCTAGGCTGACTCAGATACAAAAGTAAGACCCTATTTGAAAATAAAGCAAAAGAGCTAGAGGCATCACTTGAATGGTAGAGCTCCTGCTCTAGCAAGTGCAAATCCCTGAGTTTAAACTTTAGTTCTGCATATATATGTATCTATAAAGTCTGAATATATTCATGGAAACCCATGGAAATCCTTCAATCTTTACATCCTAGATTGTGTACTCCATCAAGAGAATATCTCTTTAGAGAAATAACAATAATAGCTGCAATAATGTGTAAAAACACACAGCAAAGCTATGTTGAGGTATAATTCACATACCATACAGTTCACCAATTTAATATGTTTAACTCAATGATTTTTCAGTATGTTCACAGACTTGTGCAACCATCACCACAGTCAATTTTAGAAAATCTTATTACCCTCTCCCCAAAAAAGAAACACTATCCAGTTGGGCATGGTGATACATGCCTATAATTCCAGAATATGAGAGGCTAAAATCAGGAGGATCATGAGTTTGAGGCCAACCTGGGCCTCACAATCTTGTTTGTAAACAAAATGATTTTAAAAAAACCAACTGTGTCTGTTTCCATCAAACTTAAACTATTATTTATCTTGATTTGCTTCTCACAGCCTATTCTGGACATGATATTTTATGTTTGGCTTATTTCATTCCGTACTTGGAACACTCAGCCCCTTAGCATGTGTGAAACCAAATTGCCTGGTGGAACTTAGAGGGCAAGTGATGTTTGTTTCCTGGCTGCTACCTGTGGCCTAGGCCCATATTGCATCTACCTGTTGTCATTAATCATGAAGATAACCTCTTGTTTGGAAATTGCTCCTCTGAGTAGTTGCAAGAATTGAACAAAGTTATGTTGGTGTTCCCTTAATTGAGGAAATGTCTATGAGCTCTTAACCGCACCTGGCACTCAAGGTTGCAAGTCCATTTATCCCTCTTGAACTTCCTAGGTTAGTAAGAATTTGCCATAATGAAGTAACAGATTTTTTTATTTGCACATCAAGTTTTAATTTACTCATTTCTCTTCTACCCTTTTGTTTTTGTTCTCCCCAAGGCTATGCCTTTCTACTGTTCCAGGAGGAGAGCTCAGTGCAAGCTCTGATAGATGCCTGCCTAGAAGAAGATGGGAAGCTATACCTGTGTGTGTCAAGCCCCACTATCAAGGATAAACCGGTAAGTCGTGTACAGCCAGCTGCTACTTTTCCAGAGCACAAATCTAAGTGCAATTTGACATTGTGTTTCTCCTTTTCCTATAATGGGAATGCTGGTGACTAGAATTCTTTTCTCTGGGTGGCCTTGCTGTGTAGTAGAACTGGACTATTGTTGCTGATGGGAAACTAATAAGAAATCATCCAATCATTTGTGTTCATTTGAGGATCACAGGTAAACAAATGTGCTTTTGTCTTTTCCACTTTATAACCCTGATAAACTAATTCCTATTAAGAAACTCTGAATTGAAGTTAAAAAATATTCTCATTGTTTTTGGCAGTTGGTTTCTTATTATCAGTTTAGGTCAAAAGACAGGAGTGTACCAGCTTTTAATCAATATTATAATGTTTATGTGCCTTTGAATGTAAGGCTTTGTGCAGGTACTCAAATAGAGCTTTCTGGGTCAGGAGCTTACAGTCGAAAATGGATCATTTTAGCAGGGAGAGGGAGAAGGACAGAGAACATGGATGTGAAACTGTAAGCAAAGGTGTATTTGCACGTAGTTTGTGGTTAAGAAATGAGTGAATCAGCCCGGTACTAGTGGATCACGCCTGTAATCATAGCTACTCAGGAGGCTGAGATCTGAGGATAGTGGTTCCAAGCCATCCTGGGCAGGAAAGACTCAGACCTCTAATCAACTAGTCAAAAAAGCCAGAGGTGGTGTTCCACCTGTGGTTCAAGTGTTACAGTGCTCACCTGGAGTGAAAGAAGCTCAGGGACAGTGCCTAGGCCCAAAGTTCAAGCCCCAAGACTGGCAAAAAAAAAAAAAGTATATCATAAATTGTTGGATGATGGTGGCATAAGTGGAGCAAAACTAATTTCAAAGCAAAGCAATGGAGTTGGTTGACCATGGGAAGTTAGCAATGGTATAGGTGGGTGCTTGGAGTGAAACATAGAGTAAAAATAGTGAAGTGGAGAGTAGGAGAGACTGAAGCTGTACATCATAGGGCCTTCAGCATCCTCTGTAAATTTGCATCAGCTATGAGGCTTGCTTTGGAGCTAGGTATATTCTCAGAAATGTTTCTGGGGAAAGAGGCTGAGTCTTGGCCCTATCATTTATTTGCTTGGCTCTGTATAAATCATATAATCCTTGTTGAATTAGAGTTTCCTCAGCTGGGAAGGGGGAAGAATGCTCATTCTTCTGTGGGTTGTTGAGAAGCCTCAGATGAGAGAAAAATGAAGGGGAAAACATTTGGTAGAGGCCATGTACTTTTACAAATGGAACTGAATAGTGTTGTCAGTCCTACTCAGGACACACTTAGCACTTTGCTACATAGTAACATCTGTTGAGAAGAGGATACAACTGATTGTGAAAGGGTGATATGGGGGCTTGGCCATGTATTCAGAGAAGGCATTGTAAAGCAGACAAAGGAATTAAGTCATAGCAGTAATTAATGCAGAAAAAGAAATAGGGATTTTAGCTAGTGTTAAAGTGCCGCTGTAATTTTCTAATTCTGGAACCACTGCCAAATTTTGATAACAACAGTGACAATGTTGGACAACAGCACCATATAGGTAGGGAAAAGAGTGAGGAACCTATGTTAACATTGATCTCTATGTAAATATGGGGAGTTTGTATGATAGCGAGATGTGAAGAGTGAGTAGGAGTGTGTAGCAGCTCATCTGCATAACTAATGAATGTGAAATGATTTATTGAAGTCCCTTTGGAATAGTGTGAGATTAGAAAATGTGTAATGAATTTGATAGAGTTGGATGTGTGTAGGTAAATAGTCAACCTCTGGAGAGCCTTTGGCACTGGCACATCTCTGTGTGTGTGTGTGTGTGTGTGTGTGTGTGTGTGTGTGTGTGTGTGTGTGTGTGTGTGTGTGTGTGTGTGTAGGATGATCAAGGAAGGGTTGAGTTTGGCTTGGTCATGCACTATAGGATGTTATATATTTATTTATATATATAAATATGGATATATATATATATTTATATATAAGAAGGCAGAGAAGTAGAGGTGTATACATTGGGGTAATTTTATCCATAGTAAAGAAGCTGTTGAATTGAGGTAAGGAGACTAAAGATGAGCAGGCAGGGCTTATGTCACAGACTGTGCAGGAGATAGAGAATAATATGTCCTACAGTACAGGCCCACACCTGGACAGGTCTCTTGGGCTAGGGAGAGAACGCTGCAGGGCCTGCAGACACGGGTGGGGTAGAGGTAGCACATTGCTATAGAAAGTTCTCACTTTAAACATGTGTGTTCCTCTTTGCTTGAAGGACTTTTTGTTAGTGGTGGTGGTCAGTTGTGGGGTTTGAACTCAGGGCCTGGTACTGTCCCTGAGCTCTTGTGCTCAAGACTAGTATTCTATCCTTTTGAGCCACAATGCCACTCTGGTTTTCTGGTGGTTAATTGGATATAGCCATCTCACAGACTTTCCTGCTTGGACTGGCTTTGAACCATGACCCTCAGATCTTAGGTTCGTGAGTACCTAGGATTTCAGGCCTGAGCCACCAGTGCCCAGCTTGGAGAACTTTTGAAAATAATTAGTGTAATTATCTATTTTGGAAATGTTTATAGAGATAGCCACTTTCATTATTTGTGCTTTTGCCTTATTGCAATTTCCATTTTCTGAACTCAAGCAAAGCAGTTTTGTTGGGGCTTGGCAAATTCTGGATGGTGACTGCCAGACACACATTTCTTTGACCCAGGAATAATTTTCAGCACCAATAGTTTGAATAAAACTTAGGAGAAGAAACATAAAAGTCCCTAGGTGCCTGTCATTTTTAATGAACTGGCTCCAATTTGGGGTTCCATTTTTAAAACCTCATTTTTGGCTTTAGCTCTGTATCTACCATACCAAACCTCATTTGGTCACACTTCCCTTCAGGTTCTGGTACATTTCAACTCCCTGTGAATAAGTGAGGACCTTGGAAATAAGGTATATCCAATCTTTGGAGCTTATTTGCAAGTTTTTTGAGTTGTTACTCTTCCTTGCGCCTATGTCTTGATTTGGCTAACTTACACTCTACTTTTCATAGTCTCCTGTGCCTTCATTTTATTATTAAGTTTGTGTTTTGTTTTGTTTTTTGGTTGGTCATGGGGCTTGAATTCAGGGCCTGGGAGCTGACTTTGAGCTCATTTTGCTCAAGGCTAGCACTCTACCATTTTCAGCCGCAGCTCCACTTCTGGTTTTTGAGTGGTTAATTGGAAATTAGATCTCATAGGGACTTTCTACCTGGGTTGGCTTTGAACTATGATCCACAGATCTCAGCCTCCTGAGTAGCTGGGATTTCAGGCATAAGCTACCAGTGCTTAACATTGTTATTGAGTTCTTACTGACTCTTCTTGGATGTCTTCTTAGAAACACACCATGTTCCAAAATCTTGAAGATTTTCTACCCTTTGTTCTCCTATATCCCTTCCCCTAAAATCAAATTTCATTTCCACTGAATGACCAAGTTAATCAGATCATTTTCCTAATGCAGAATCTGACAGTGAAGGCTCCTTAGACATGTCCAAGATTATGGTTTGTTTGTTTTTGAAACTCATATGAATCCCAAATTAATGAACACGAGGTTATATTATGGAGACAGTTGGACTCTACTTAGACCATTGCATGTATAGATCTGGCCCTAAAAGGTGACAAAAGAGACTATACTTGGGGCCTAATTAATTCTTGACTTTTCCCTCCCAAAGAATGAGAAGACAAATTAGCAACTACAGGAGGGAGCTACTGTAGAACTTTCAGATCAGTGATATTTTTTTTCTTTCTCCAATCACAGGAGTTTCATAGCTCCCAAATATATCATGATATGTATATCTGTGTATATCCCTGTACACCCCTAGCACTTTGAATTACTCCTCCTGAGTTATAAAAGCAGTATAGATACTTTTGCCTCAGTTTTAAGATCATCTCAGTTTACCTTCAATTTTTTTCAATGTTTTTCTACCTTCTGAAATTTTAATCAAATGGAAATATTCCTGCTCCTATCTCAAATCTAAATTTCTACCCTTTCTTAAAGATTCTCTCAAATGCCATCTTTTTCCTAGGTCCTTCCTTTATTACACTATCATCTGTAGTAAATCATACCTGTTACAATTCTATCTCCAGCCCACATATCTGTTTTATTGATTTATTTTTGCCAGTCTTGGGGCTTGAACTCAGGGCCTGGGCACTGTCTCTGAGCTTCTTTTTGCTCGAGGCTACATTCTACCACTTGAGCCACAGCATCACTTCTGCCTTTTTCTGTATATGTGGTACTGAGGAATCGGATTCAGGGCTTCATGCATGCTAGGTGAGCACTCTACCACTAAGCCACATTCCCAGCCCATGCATCTGTTTTAAATGCCTTCCTGAGCCTAATGAGGTCAAGGCAAAGTACTGGCTACAGTGAATCAGGACTTTGAAATGACAAAAATCTGTAGACAAAAGTTACTAATATAAATCAAGTAGCCAAAACAAGTATTTAAATATATACAAAGTATCTACACAGACTCTAGATGCTCAAATATATGTTAAGCTAAGAAAAATGTCAAAACCTTGAAAATGTAATACTAATTATGGACCTTAGAGCATCCATATATACCTAGGGTAATAAAAGAAAACATCCTGAATGTTGAGTCATTTGAACTAGGGCATGAAAAATGAAGGCAGTTTGAAGTTAGCCATTAGAGTGGTATAGCATGAGCAACAGACATTTTTGGGAAAGGCAACAATATAAACATAGATGTATATTTATGTGACATTGGTGGAATCGTTATATTGGTAGTTGGAGCACAAATGCATGAAATAGAATAGAAAAAAATTAAGTTTGGTGGGAGAATCTGAAATCTCAGCAATTGAGAGTACAAAGCGAAGGGAATGTAAGTTTGAGGCTATTCTGGGTTACATAGTAGCAAGACTGTATCAACAATTAGGAAAAATAGAAAAATGCTGTTGTAGGGGATCTTGATTGTGTTACCCCAAATCTTTTTGATTGTGACATGTTTACTAAGACTATTTTCATTCTCATCTGCTT